CAGAACTTATCAAAGCAGTTTTAGGAAAACAATTAGTTACACCTTGTTGCACTAGATGGAATAGTTTGTATGATAGTCTTCATAGTTTATTAAAATTTAAAGGCGAACTTCCTAAATTATGTCAAAAATTAGAATTTCCTAAATTATGAGATATTGAAATTCAATATTTAGAAGAATATTGCAATATAATGGCCCCATTGGCTATAGCGATTGACAAAATACAGAGTGAAATCAACTGCTATTATGGAGAATCAGCTCCAATTTTGAATGTCGTTAAAAAAAATTATAAATTTAATTCAAACCAATCTACAATTTTGCAAACCATTAGCTATTGCCATAGAAAATTATTTAAATAAAAGATTTAAAAATATATATGATTTTGATAACAATTTTAAAAGTGCATTTTTGGCAACTATTTCTCATCCCTATTTTAAAAATCGTTGGATTGATGGTGAAAAAGAAAAAATAATACCTTCAGGATTTGTTATTACATGAAGTTTTAATTGTTTTTAAAAATAATATTGAAATTAATACTTCAACGAAATCTTTAATTGATGAAGATGATGATTACTTTTGCCTTAAAAGTACCACATCCAATTCTAATAATTCAATAAATGATATTGAAATAAAGGTCCAAAATTATATGAAAGATGACAGGCGGAGTATAAATATGTTAAATAGTTATAACTATATAAAAGAAATATTTATTAAATATAACACAATATTACCCTCCTCAGCCCTCGTTAAAAGATTATTTAGCTATGGTTAATAGACCAAATCGTCAAAGATTGAACGATAAAATATTAAAAAATAATGCTGATTTATGATGCTGATTTATTATTATTTACTAATTATATAATTATTAAATGGAATATCGCATTATCTTTTATAATAAATTTGTTATTTTCTACAATTTATTTTAAATATTTTTTTTTAAATTTATATTATAGATAAGAAAATAAAGCTTTATACATTTTGATTTTGACTATTTAAAGTTTTTTAAAAAAGTATCTTGTCTCTTAGATACTTTTTTTTAAAAAATACAAGTATCTTGTATCTTATATCTTATTGAAATTTTTCTAAAGTACCTAGTATCTTGTATCTTAAATACAAAATTTTATAAAGTATCTGTATCCGAATACAATTTTCTGAAAATTTGCCCAACCCTTCTCTTAGGTTAGTATTATTGTTTATTATTATTCATTTAAATTTTTTAACTGGTTTGTTAAATTAATTTTATTTAGCTAACAACTAGATTTTTATTTTATTTATTGCCAGCTCTATTTTGAGATCTTTTTAATAAATAAACTTAATATATAATTTATTAAATTAATTATGTAAAACTTTATTTTGAAAGGTACTACTAAATCAAATTCATCATTTGTTCCATTCCAACTCTAATTATTATATTTTTTTAATATCTTTTTAATGTATAAACTTAATATATAATTTATTAATTTTTTTATGTAAAACTTTATTATGAAAGTTAAAACTAAATCAAATTTATAATTTGTTTTATTCCAGCTCTAAATATTTTGATGTTTTTTAAATATCTTTTTAAAGTATTATTTAATATACAATTTATTAAATTAATTTTTTTAGACTTTATTTTAGAAAGTTAAAACTAAATCAAATTTATAATTTGTTTCATTCCAGCTCTAATTATTTTGTTTTTAAATATCTTTTAAAGTATAAACTTAATATATAATTTATTAAATTAATTATGTAAAGCTTTATTTTGAAAGTTAAAACTACATCTAATTTATAATTTGTTTCATTCCAGCTCTAATCATTTTGATGTGCTGCTTAGATTTAATGTCATTTGATTCTATAAACAATAAAGGAATGACAGATTTTCTAAAGGTTTAAAATTTATATAAAAATATTTAAATTCGAATTCTACTCCAATTTTAAATTTTTTTAAGATTTACTATTTTTTTAATAATATCTTCAACAATTAGCATGGCTGGATATTTATTTTAAAAATTATTATGATTTTATAGTTTTAAAAAAATAGATGGCGCTATATAAAAGATTTAGTATATTCATTTTTCTATTGCTTAAAAATATTCTTAAGTATAATATAACATAAAATTCGGTTATATAACTTTGTAAACCTTATTCCCTTTAGATATTCGCAGGATAAAAAATTTTAATATTTTTTTTAATATTTCAATGTAAATTAAAAATAATTAAAAAATCCGACTAGCACACGAACAAAAATGCAGGATTAAATGTGCAAAAAAATTATTAAGGGAAAAATCGAAAATCACATCAATTATCAGGCCTACTCTTAACCCTCCACCCCCCCCCCGAAGACTAAGTCATACCCATCAAGACCAAGAATGTTATGAAATTGTCATTATCTTAAATTATTAAAATAACCAGAGATAAAGAAAATTTAGAAGATTTTGAAAAATTTTATAAGCAATAAAAATAACAAAATTATAGTTCTGATGAAATAAGCCGACTCAGCCTGGAATAAAAGATTGTGTATCTGTTAAAGGCGAAAAAGAATCAGTCCAAAGACTTATATTAAATGATCTTAAAGAAATATTCAAGATGTTTAAGGAAGAATACCCAAATATATCAATTATTCTCTAAATTAGCCTAACTTAGGCCAAAAAACTGTATTTTAGTTGGAGCTAGTGGCACACACACTGTTTGTGTCTGCACCATTCATCAGAATGTGAAATTAATGACAAATGTAATAGCTGAAATTACAGCAGGAAAAGATTACTGTATAAATTCTTATAACTATCCTTTGGCTCAAAATATTTATAATCCATCTCAACCAAAATGTTATTTAACAAATTGTGACCAATGTCCTGGTATAGAATCTCTTAAGAACCAATTATACCAATTGTTTCAGAGAAATCATATAGAATATGTCACGTTTAAACAATGGATCACGATGGATAGAGCAAATCTTGAAACTATCATAAAGTCCTTTGATGATTTTATCGAATATCTATTAGAAAAAGTTCAAATTTTACTGTGTCACTCATTTATAGCTAAACACAAAGTTTATTTTTGAAGAATTACAAGGAAAATTTAAAAGATGGGTAATTTTTAACAATTTTAGATTATTCTGAGAATTATTCCATCATTTTACAAGATGAAGTTCAGGGATTTCATTGGATATACCTCCATTTGTAGCATATTATAACTCTGGAGAAGAATTAAAAAATATAAATTTTGTTATTTTATCCGAATCATTAAGCCATAATACTAGTGCAGTCCACCTTTATCAAAAAAAAATTATTAATTTCTTAACAGCCAAATTTAATTCTAAACCAGAAAAAATAATATATTTTTCAGATGAAGCCGCATCTCAATACAAGAATCGCAAAAATTTTCTGAACATATGCCTTCATAAATATGATTATAATATTCCTGTAAAATGGCATTTCTTTGCCACTGCTCACGGCAAAAATGCATGTAACGGTATCGGAGGAACTGTCAAAAGATTAGTTGCCAGAGCTAGTCTTCAAAGGCCAAATAAAAATCAAATCCTAACCCCATTAAAATTATATAATTATTGGAATTCAATTAGAATATGTATCCAATCAAGAATATATCAAAGGAATTAGCCCTTCGTAAAAGATTTAATTCTGCACTGCCCATACATGCTACCCAAAAAAATCACGGGGTTATTCCCATTGATCAAAATAGACTAAAAACCAAAATATATTTAAATTCCAAAAAATATAATATAAAACAAGTTTCGTTTTTAAATGAGAAAACTATATTTTAAAGTATTAATATATATATAACATGTGTATATGATGATAAATGGTGGTTAGGATATATAATCGATAAAAATGATACAAATGAAGAAGTAAAAATCCAATATTTACACCCTTGTGGACCTTAAGCCTCATTTAAATTTCCTCTGAAAGATGATATTTTAGTGTTGACTAAATCTCATATTCTCTCGCTGGTCAATCCTTCTACTCCCACCAGTCGAACATATATATTATCTCCTGAAGAAATCTCACAAGCTAGCCAGATTTTGTATTCCTTTAGATGAAGTAAGATTTATTTAATTTATAAACTATCTTAATTAGGCAAAATTTGTGAAGATTTTAAAAATATATGATCTGAATTACAAATAAATATATATAATGCACATTGTAATCGATTTAGTATGATATATATATATTAAAAAAATTTTAATCAATAAAAAAATAAATTTTAACATATTAAAACTATTATATATAGCGCCATCTATTTTTTTAAAGTATAATATTCACAATATTTTTTTAAATAAATATCCAGCCATGCTAATTGTTGAAGAAATTATTTAAAAAATAGTAAACGGATAATATTTCTTAAAAAAATTAAAAATCGGAGATCATATACATTTCAAAATATTAATTTTAAGTTTTCAACTGACCATAAGATGACCCATATTTTATCAAAAATTAATTTTGATGTTTTCGCCATAATCATCAATTATTAAATTAGCTATTGATATTAAATTCAATATTTGATAATATTTAGTTTTAAATTAAAAACTAATTATTTAACAACAGTAAAAAGCAAAATAAGACGTTTTTTGGACCTTTAACCCCGAATATCTCTTCTAATATAGTTGCTAATGCGCTAAAATTTTGTTTATAATCTAATAAGAACATATATAACCAGCCTACGATTTTTTATTGAAATCGAAAGGGGTCGGTCAAAAAGTGTGATTTGACATGGAATGACCCTGATATGTCTTGCAATAGAGGGTTAAAATAATCTTTCAAATTTTATAGTGGATGTTTCAATATAATACTAAAGAATATATATATATATATAAATCCATAGTTAGAAAATCAACATATTGACCTAACAAAATATTTGTTAATTATTAGTAATGTATCAAATGTGTATGGATTATTTTATGTAAAATCATAAAATTTAGGCTAATTGGTAAAGTTTAATTAATTTTCAACTGATTTGCAAAATTTTAATCTTAATAAAGATAGTAATGTGATAAAAATATAATATACTTTGCCAGTCACTCCATTCCTAACTGCAAAAGTGAATAGATTAGATGGCTCAGGATTATTCTCATCATATCTAAAAGTTGCAAATGCAGCTGCATGGCCCTCTATCTTTTGAGATCTTTTTTGCTCAATTGAATAAAGTTGCATCATACCTGTCACTCTATTATTCTTTATGCTTAATTAAATTATGTAAGACCAAAATTAAAAACTTGAGCAGATATTCCTATAAGTAAGAGCCATTGAAGTTTGGCATCAGCTCTATAATTGATAATTTGGCAATCCATATCTTTATTACGATCAAACATTTTTATAGGATTTGTCTCTCCTATAATAAATAACAATTGAAAATTTAACTTATAAACAATGACCTTCCATTGACCAGTGATAAACAGCAGTTTCAGTTACAAGGCCAATAGTATTTACTGATATCCATTTCCAAAACACAACATCTTCTGCCATTGCATATGATTTCATTTTAGATTTCATTTCAATATTGAATATTTGAAGAGTCTTATTAGCTAAAAAAAATATGAAAAATACATAAAATTAGATTTTATTACCCTTCAAAGCTAGAACTTTACTATTCGGATTCATAATTGTAGAGTCCCCTGATATAAATCTCCTTATAGGATTATTTGGGTTAGCCATATCAATTATAACAACTTGAACCTTTTCATCAAGCTTTTCTCTTACACAAATATATTTATCACTCTCTAACGTTACAGTAGTAAATCCGATATTCGTAGGAGCTATTCCAATGTTTTGCAACTAAAGCTATATCAAAAAATTATCATTATAAATGGTAATACTTGGAGATGCTCCTGAAATTTTATAGGTAATGGATCAGTCATGTCATAAAATCCTAAAACGTTTCAAAGGTGACAAAGTGGATTTATTAGAGGGCTTTTACAAAATATTTTTAAATCTAAAAAGAATATTTAAGTGTTTTTAAAATATTTGTATAATCACAGACTATAACTACAAATGATATTTTAGTGCAAAATATATTTTAAAAAGTTCTGTAATATGATTCATATATTTATCTATAGTTTGAATGAATACTTGATAATTTTGGGAAACGAAAAAAGTTTTTAAATTTGTGAATAATTTGATAAAAAAAAATAGAAGCTCAAATATTCTGTAAATCCTTTTTATTATCGGCCTCGACTTAATTCTGGTTTTTGAAAAATTAATAAAACCACCGTGAGGATTAGAAAATTTTTAGGGGCTTCGCCCCCAGACTCCAAGTCATAAAATATTTTACATAATAGGAGGTTAATTTTAATAAAAAAAAATAAGCTTGGAACAAATATGAAATCTATTTTTATTATTTTATATAAAATATAATAAATTACTTGTATATACATTAGTATGAAAGCATGGTAATAATTTATTCCAAACAAGTATATGAAATTTATTTGTAAAAAGTAAGTAGACATATAGTTGATATTCCTCTATTATATAGAATTAGTTACCAAATACTAGGTAAAATTCCATTTTTACAGACATATTTGACAGTTAGAATATATATTACAGTTAATATTTTAATAAACTTTACTAATCAATGCTCTTGATAATTAATATAGCAACAATTTGCTTTCAATTATTTAACGCCATCTATATAATTTAAATAAAAATAAAATTTATAATTAATCTTCATATGATTCATTCCACAATATCTTTAAAAGATATTTTCTGATGTCCTTATCAATATTTTATAGTTTTCTGTAAAATACATAATTCGCTATATTGGTAAAAATTACTTGATTATTATGATAATTGATAAAATTAGATATACTGTAAATCTACAACATATAATATTCCACTGTTTGTATTGTGCTTTAATTTTTTTTAATTTAATTTATAATTTAATTTTATCAATAGTTTTATAATTATATTTTACTTTTATTAAAATAAATAAATTAAAATTACTCACTTTATAAAAAATTATATTTGATACTAGTTGATAACCCGTCAAAAATGACGGGGATGAGAATTTTATTCGTTCTTTTACGATAATTCTTTTTACCCCTCCCCCTCCTCCTTCAGGCCAATTCCAACCCATTAAGACTAAGAGTGATGAATTGTCTTTTTTATTCAATGATTGATGAATAATATATATTACCTTTATTTGATGATGGGTGAATCATAAATTTTCCTATTTTATAAGATGTGATTTCGAAATTTATATTTTAAATTACAAAAATGAATATGAAAAAATATCTCATATTAGCATCACACTGATCACCCGTCAAGAATGATAGGGAATTATAATTTGAGATGTGATTTAGAAATTTATATTTCAAATTACAAAAATGAAACAATATATCTTATTAGCACCCTAAATACTAACATTATTTATCAGAGCTCCTGTTAGTCAGAATTGCTGTTCACTCCTCACCGTGTGAAGGTAGGAGATGGATTTTAGGAGAGCAATATTTTGGATCTTGGCCAGTTTTTCTATCTTTATTTTGATAATAAGATCTTTTGAATTTTTTTCCTAAATCTTCTAGAGCAAGCGCGAATCATATCAGATTTATCTTATAATAATAAAGTGTTATAGAATAGCTATTAAATGCCTTTTTATTTAAATAACCAATCTTAAAAACATATAACTGTATATTAATAAAGCTGGGGGTCTAAAAGGGGTAAGTATTATACTGGTCATCAGTGTCCAAGAATTTATAAGTCATGAGCATGGATTTTTCTTTATATCTTACTATTGAGATTTTAAATTTTTATAAAATTTTAACTATATAGGTGAATAAAAATTAAAAATACAAATTCTCTTTTACCTAATAATCCTATCCTTTCAATAAAAGAGGTATCTTTATTTCCTAAATTATTTTTCCATTTATTTTATAAGTCTATTTCAATTATTCCCACCAATAAAGGATCTGTAATAATTAATTTTTCCTATTAAGCACCATCAAACATATCATTGACCCTTAATAAATATAAAAATTTGAGTCTCAAGTATATATTTTTCATTTTATCTGACTTTAGATTTTTATGAGTAAATTTATACCCTAATTTTGCGTAACATATTACTTTACTATGTTATTTATATATTTTTTTAAATTATCTATATTATTTTATATAGATAAGCAATATACCTAGGAATCCAATCTTATTTTCTATTTATTAGGATAATTCCATTTCAATTAAATCTAACAGAGACAGAGAAAGGATCAAATTTAAAAATATAAAATTTACATCTATACAAACAAAATGATTATATTATTCATTTGCCTCCAACTATTCTCATTTCTAAAAAGGTTTTATATTTTGTTTAATTATTATTTATTGCTATTTAAAATATAAATTTTTTAAATTTAACTTTTTGCAAAAGAATAGTTGAAAGCAAATGAGTAATTAAATTATTTTGTTTGAATAGAATAATAGATGTAAATTTTATATTATTGAATTTGATCCTTTCTCTGTTGTGAGATATAATTTGAATTGACTTATCTTAAAATAAATGTATAAAAAAGAATATCATATTTTTATGAAAAGATAGGATTTCTAGGTATATGAGAATTTATTGTTATTCTTATCTATATAAAATAATATAGATAACTTAATATATAAATAACATAGTAAATTATTATGTCACAAAAAAATAGGGTATAAATTTACTTATAAAAATCTAAAGTCTGATAAAATGAAAAATATATAACTGGGTCATGAAAATTTTTGTATTGGTTTAAGGGTTCAATGATAGGTTTGTTAGTGCTTAATAGAACAAATTATTACATATCCTTTATTGGTTGAATTTAAAAAAAAATGAATATTGAATTAAAAAGAATATGGAAAATAAGGTTACCTTTTTTATTGAAAGGATAGGATTATTAGGTGAAAGAGAATTTGTATTTTTTATTGTTATTCATCTATATAGTTAAAATTTACCTATAAAAATTAAAAATTTAAATAGTCAGATAAAATGAAGAATCCATACTTATGACTCATAGATTCTTGAACTTGGTTAAGAGTCAATAGTAGGTTAGGCAGTGCTAATTATATTTAGCCCATTATTAGTAATTTTAATTTATGTGCACAATAAAAAATCATTTGAACTAAATTTTTATTCATTTATTTGCAATTTTTGAAAAATTTTAAAATAACCCCTGATCTTAATAAATATAAATTTCTGAATAAGATCCCATTAAATAGAAAAATTTCTAATTATCCATCATTGAATAAAGGAGAAAATTATTCCCCATTAATCTTGATGAGCTATCATCTAGTTTAATATATAATGATATCAAATGTTAAATAAATAGTCTTTAAATAAATATCTTATTCCTCTTGAATTGGTACTTGATGCATTTAAAGTTCTACTGATCCCTAAATTTTCAGGAATAGGTATAATATTATAGGTGTTTATTCAATTTTTTCATAATCAATAATATATTTTACAGGCATTTTCAACTGAGCACTCTATAGATTTAGAATTAATGGCAAACTTATCAGTAGTTATGCCAAATGTGCATTCAATCACTACTTAACTTATAATGTTTTGCTTCTGGACTGGTATTTTTCATAGAATAAGGTTTCATAGTTTTTAAAGTGTTTGATATTGGTTTTTCTAACTCTAAAATAATTAAATATTATTTATTAATTTTATAAATTTATTTGATGTAAAGTGCTTACCATCTAATGAGCCAGGTCAAAATATTTTTGTGCAATCTAAAAATATATTAATATATCTAAATTTATAATACCTTCTCCAATGTTCTCTAGTTAGAACTGGCATATGAATATCTTTTAAAGTTTTCCATATAGCATCACATACCTCTGGAATGATGATAACAATGCATTTTGCTTATTCTGCTTTTTAACTTGGTTTGTTTTTTCTTATATTGGTAGTTGGATTTTATTTAAGAATCTAATAAAAATAATATAATTATATATAAGAACTGAAAAAATTATACTTGGTTGCTGGATACAATTGCTTTGATATGTGAAGTGAATGAAATGGTAAGTGTATGAATGCTGAGCTTGGTAAGGTGATTACTATTGGACCGAATACGCTATAATCATTTTTATTGGACAAATATCTTTTAAAAGAAAACTATTGGCTAAATTTGATTGACGTTTTTTGAGGATTATTATAACATATTATATTATTTAGTAATTTTAGGGATCTATTTTTAATAATTATAATACATTTCACTTTTGTCTTAAGACTTATCTTTAGCATATATTCCATTTCTTAAAAAACATTTTTGGTTCACTTTTTTTTGTATATAAATGCTTTTTTACAAAAATGTATATTTTATGATGAATAGTTTTATAAAAATATATCAACTTTTACATTCTTTTTTTCAAATTATTGTTTAAGATATATGCATACATTTTTGGGGGTCAGGGAGTGGGAAGGGGGGACTGAGGGGGATATTTTTTATTAGCTTATAATGATATAGATAAAAATCGATAAATTTCTGTAGGGGGGGGGGGGGATTAATTATAAATTAAATAAAAAAAATTAAAGCACAATACAAACAGTGGAATATTATATGTCGTAGATTTACAGTATTATATCTAATTTTATCAATTCATATGACAATCAAGTAATTTTTACCAATATAGCGAATTATATATTTTACAGAAAACTATAAAATATTGATAAAGACATCAGAAAATATCTTTAAAGACATTGTGGGATGAATAATATGAAGATCAATTTTTTATATCATTTAATATTTAAAAAAATAGATGGCGTTAAATAATTGAATGCAAATTGTTGCTATATTTATTATCAAGAGTATTGATTAGTAAAATTTTAAAAATATTTATGTAATATAATCTTTAACTGTCAAATTTGTTTGTAAAAGTGGAATTATACGTAGTATTTTCTAATTAATTCTATATAATAGAGGAATATCAACTATATGTCTACTTACTTTTTATAAATAAATTTCT